ATATCTGTTAACTTTATTTTTTCACACAAAATTCATGCTAGTCGATTTTTTTTTACTGTTGTAACACTTAAAAGAAAATATAAAAAATATTAAAAAAAAAAACAATTTAAATATATATCTGCATCATAGGTACGTCAAATTTTTACTTACAGGTTCTGCAATCAGCGTATTTCCATCTTTTTTTACTTTTGTGGTCGTGTAGTTGTAAAGTGCCTCAATGTAATCATTGGTGTATTTCACATTGGGTGACTCGACTTTCACATTATAAGTATCCATGTTTCAATTCTACAAGAAAGTATAAATATTGAAAATTACAGACAATGTTTTTTTAATGATTTAAAACTTATTTAATGATTATTAAATGAATTTAATGTTTAATGATTATTAAATGATTTCAATTTTTAATGATATTTAATGATTTCAATTTTTAATGATTTTTTAATGATTTCAATTTTTAATGATTTTTTAATGATTTCAATTTTTAATGATTTTTTAATGATTTCAATTTTTTAATTATTTTTAAATGATTTTAATGTTTAATGATTTTTAAATGACTTTAATGTTTAATGATTTTTAATGATTTCAATTTTTTAATGATTTTTAAATGATTTTAATGTTTAATGATTTTAATTTTTAATAAATTTTAATAATTTTAATTTTTAATGAATTTTAATGATTCAATGATTTTTAATGACTTAAAGCTTTGAAAAAACAAAAAATGATCATAATCCTGTGTATATAAGACACAATTTTTTCATCCAAATCCTGTCCAAAAGTCTGCTACACCCTTATACTTTTCTTTAAAACTCCAGGCCTCAAAACGGACAAAATCGGGTCAAATTGGATTTATATGTTTACCAGAATGTAAGATTGTTAGAATTCTGTTAAAATGGTGCCTTAGATTTAGTTTCAACTTTAAGGACACTAGACTGTATATAGAGATGACATTGTCATTTTCCTCTGGTAAACTAGCCTGCCTAACTGTTGTAACCTAGAGAAGGATACTGAATAGAATAATCAAACAAAGGTTAGTAATGAACGATAATACTTAGGACAAGAACAACGTATAGAAGATTCACCAGTAAAAGGAGTAGTCAACTGGTAGAAGTGAGTTTATTTACTACTGTATTTATGGGAATGGCAACATACCCATTATTGTCTGTAGATATGCTACAACAGAAAGATAGATAGATAGCGAAGACCTCGAGATAGAGAGGTAGCGAAGACCTCGAGATAGAGAGGTAGCGAAGACCTCGAGATAGAGTTCTAATCTAGGGAAGGTTAGTGAATAGAATAATCACACGAAGGTTGGTAATGAATGATAATACTTAATAATTAATTTTTATCGTTAATTTTAATCATTCCTTGGCCTCTTTCAAGTTGTTTGAAGATAGAGGATGGCAGGCTTTAAGAATTCCCTCCGTGGTCATTTTGACAGTTTTATTGGTTGCTGGGAATGGGATGTGTGTGTGTTAAGTGTATGTAATCATTTAGTTCTTTGGGAGTGTGCCTGATGTGTGTGTGTGTGTGTGTGTGTGTATATATATATATATATATATATATATAAAAGAAATATAATGTAGTGGTTCCAACGAGAGAAAAGTATGTATATTAAAAAGAAGAGAAGAGAGGTGCCGCTAACGTTTTTGGTTGCAATGTGGATTTATGTAGAAAAAATATTATGCTTTATGTTTATGCATTCTTTTTATAGATACAAATATTTAAGTGAATGGTCTGTATATAATAAACAGTATTAAACAACATTTACCATATATATCTATGATGATTAATACAGTTATCTCCTGTTAATTTCCCTCTACAAGTTCTCCACTGCCTTAACCGGGTATTGAACTCACACTTTTTGCGTCCTGTCACTGGATCTAACCAACACCTTTATCCACTGACAGATACTAATATTCAAATGTCCTGTCATTTTTATGGCATAGGGCACGTTTATGCCAGAAGGTTAATTTGGGACAGGCTCTATTTAGAGCTACTTATTCAAACCTTGGAATATATATATATATATATATATATAAATAAAATGATAAATCAAGAAACTACCTTAAAAATCCATTATAATTTATTTAATGAATAATTTTCATCTCCTCTGACTGAAAGTTTTAAAGAAATGGAATCAATCCATCCAGTCAGATATACCGAAATAAAAAATAAATAAATAAAACAATATAATAAAATAAATAAATAAAACAATATAATAAAATAAATAAATTTGTAATAAAAAAATCAGATATCACTTTAACTCTTTTACTTCTAATCCCACTTTTCTTTCCCTTGCCCGCCATATTAACTTGTTCAGCCCTTTTTAAGAGGACATTTTTTCTTGGTCATTTTATTTATTTATTTTTGCTGTTGACTCATCATATATTTCTTGCTTCTTTCCTTTCTTTTACTCTCTTTCCCTGTCTCTCTTTCTTTCTTCCCTTAATATTTAAAAATATCTAATTTTTTATTTCTTTTCAATTATTGATATTTTTTC